TAAACGGGTTATAACACACGTTGGACATAGCGAACCAGTGGCACAGGAAGAACACGGACGACGAGTGGCGAAAGGGGCCGAGTGAGCCCCCGAAGTCTGCCACGAGGTGGTAGGTGTTCAGTGGCAGCCAACACAGGGCGAACAACACTACCACGACCAGCAACATCTTGACCGTTTTCTTCTTTGCTCGTAACTGGACGGACAGCTGCTCTTTGGTGGCGGCGCCCACGACCGCCCGCCACCACACCCGCCTCGTCACGCCCACGTAAGCCACGGCTGTGATGCTTAAGGGCAGTGCATACTGCGTGAGGAAGGTGGCCAGCGTCAGCCACTGGCGAAACTCGAGAGCTGGGTGCGGGTAGCGCGCCTGACACCGTGTCAGCTTCCGGTACGTGACCACCTCGACGACCTGAAATCAGAGGAGTCGCGGTAAGACCAAGGCATTCGAGAATAATCAATACCTATTATGCAATAGGATTAAAAGTGAGCGAGTATGATAGGATAATTAGCATTACTGCGATTATGAAAAATGGATAGAAATAATCATATCAAGAATAATAGCAATCCTTGTAGTAGTTTTCACTCTATTATCACTACTGCTCGTAAGTTTTATCATTTCACTTTATCCTTACAACGCCCCTTTTCCCCTCGACCCGGCCTGACCTCGCTATAGATGGCGTAGGGGAGGGAGACGAGGGCGGCCAGCAACCACACCACCACGATGATGACCGCGCCGTGGAAAGCGCCCAGACGAGGCTTTAATGGGTGGACTATCACCTGAAGGATTTTAAAAATGGGAGTCAAGAATAAATCATGGAAAATTAACAACTGATATGTGAATTGTAAAAAATCTAAAAAATAAAACAAAAGCACGTGCTAATAAAAAAAAAATGCGAATGGTATGAATGAAAAAGTGACCTTTCTTGTCTTGATTCTTCGTTCATTCGCCGGAGTAAGAACTTAGATAATCAAAGACAAAAATTATAAATAAAATGTGTATAAGCGCGAGCTCGTGTGTCTATGTCTGTGTAATATGCTGTAGGCCTATTGTATATACATTAGACGGACAGATTCATTAATAGATATATTTCAGCAAAATCAACAGACAGAAACAAAACATAGAGGAGAGGAAAATTAAAGCCTACATATACAGATTGTTACATCAATGAGATAGATAGAATGATAAATAAGACAGACAACAAGAGAGTGAGAAAGCGCAAAGAAGAGAGAGAGAGGGATAGAACAACGACAAGCAGAAAGACAGGGGCAGAAAAAGACAGGAACAGAGAAGAAAGACGAAAAAAGGAAACAAAGACAACAAAGAAATCGACAATAAAAAAAGAAAAAGAAAACTCGAATATAAAACAATAATAAGAAGAAAAACACCTGACTCCGACCCACAAACCGCACACCCCCGGAGACGGCAAACGGACTCTCGAGCATCACCTGATATCTGTCCAGGGCGATGGCGACCATAGTGAAGGCGGAGACGTAGACGGAGGTGGCCTGGACGAAGGGCACGACGCTGCACATGAACCCTCCGAAGGGCCAGTCGTCCAGCAGCACTCTGGGGACGAGGAATGGAGGACTAAATAAAGGAGGGAGATAGATGTTTGCGCTTGGAGATCTTCATTTCATGGCTGGTTTTCTTTTTTTCTTTTTTATTTCTTTACTCTTGATTTCTTTGTGGGAAATTATGCTGTAATGTTGGGTGATTTGATTTATGTGTGAGAGAGCGAGGGCGGAAGAGAGAGTGATATTTACTAGATATCTACTGTCTTTCTCTCTTCCTCTTTTCATGATCTTTCTCTTTCTCTTTCGCTTTCGCTTTCAACTTCTCTCTCTCTCTCTCTCTCTTCTCTCTCTCTCTCTCTCTCTTCTCTCTCTCTCTCTCTCTCTCTCTCTCCTCTCTCTCTCTCTCTCATTCATTCCTATCTCATTCTCTCTTTCTCCTTTCTCCCTCAATCAACCCCCCTCTCTCTAACTTCTTTCTCCTTCTCAAGCTCTTTTCCTACTCCCATTCCCTCCCCCTCCCCCTCCCTTCCTCTCCCTTCCGTCCTCCCCTCCCCTTCCTTCCCTTCTCCTCCCCCTTTCCCCTCCCCCCTCCCTTCCCCCCTCCTTCCCTCGCCCTTCCCCTCCCCCTTCCCCTTCCTTCCCTTCTCCTCTCCCTTTCCTCCTTTCCCCTTTCCCCCTCTTCCCTCTTCCCCCTTACTTTCCCCTTCCCCTCTCCCCTCCCCCTTCCCTCCCCTTCCCATCCTTCCCCTCTTCCGAACCTTGCCACATTGAAGGGTATGTTGAGCGCCGTCATGAGCAGGTCAGAGACGGCGAGGTTGGCGAGGAAGGTGTTGGTGAGCGTGTGCAGTCTGCGGTTCCTGATGACGACGTGGCAGACGAGGAGGTTGCCGAAGAGGGAGACGCAGATGATGATGGTGTAGGCCAGGATCATGATGACGGTGCGGCCGGGGTCATCGCGCCGTCTCACTTGCGCCGTCAGGTCGACTGTAGGGGGAAGAGAGGTCAGAGGTCAGTGGTCGTCTCGCGGAGGAAGGGAGGAGGAGGAGTAAGGGGGGGTAGATGGATGACGCGGTGGAGGAAGGAAGGGATGGGAGAAGGAAGGTTCGGTGGAAGAAAGAAGGAAGAGGAGAAAGAAGGTTTGGTTGGTTAGTACCGGAGGGGGTTTACCCTATCCACCTGGAAGGCGGATGAAGGAAAGAAGGAAGGATAGATGGAAGGCGCGATGGAGGAAGAAAGGATAGACGGAGGGTGCGTATCCACCTGGAAGGTGCGGTGGAGGAAGGAGGGAAGAGGAGAAGGAAAGATAGATGGAAGGCACGGTGGAGGAAGGAAGGAAGAGGAGGAGGAAAGATAGATGGAAGGGGTGGAGAAGGAAGAGGAAGAGGAAAAGATAGATGGAAGGTAGAGGAAGGAGGAAGGAAGGAAGAGGAGGAGGAAAGATAGATGGAAGGTGGAGGAAGGAAGGAAGAGGAAGAGGAAAGATAGATGGAAGGTGGAGGAAGGAGGGAAGAGGAAAGATAGATGGAAGGTGGAGGAAGGAAGGATAGATGGAGGGTGCGGTGGAGGAAGGAGGGAAGAGGAGAAGGAAAGACAGATGGAAGGCGCGGTGGAGGAAGGAAGGAAGAGGAGAAGGAAGGATAGATGGAAGAAAGGAAGAGGAGAAGGAGAGATAGATGGAAGACGCGGTGAAGGAAAGAAGAGGAGAAGGATGGACAGATGGAAGGAAAGAAGAGGAAAAAAAGAGATAGATGGAAGACGTGATGAAGAAAGGAGGGGGAGAAGTAAGAATGAATGTAAGGCACGCTAAAGGTATTGAATGAAGGATCTAAGAACGGAAAGAAAAAAGGTGAGAGGAAGTTCTGATAATGAAGGAAGGAAGGCAAAAGGGAAGAGAAAGATAATGGAAGGTATTGATGTGAGAGAAGGGAAAGGAAGAGGAGAATAGTAACATAAGAGAAAAACGAAGGAAGTGTTCTTGCAAGGAAGGGAAAACGAAAGAGTAAGCAAGGTAAAGGTGAGAGGAGGTTCCAATAATAAAAAAGGAAGAGAGAGAATAGTGATAAAGGGTAAAAAGAAAGACACGGTTAGAGCTCTTCGTGATGATGGAAGGAAGAAAGAGGAAGAAATACTGATAAAAGAAGGATGTATGGAAAACAAGGTCAAGGTATCAAATGAAAGAGGTAAGAAGGAGAAAGGGAAGATGATAGAGGGCTGGTAATTAGAGAGGAAGAGAAGGGAAATGTGATAAATGGGGAATAAGAGGAAGGTACAATAAAGGCATTGAAAGAAGAGAAGAAAAAAGAGTAAGAAGACAGAAGATGAATAAATGTAAGACCGGGAGAGAATAAGAGGTTCTCTCGATAAAGAAAGGGAATGAGGAAGGAAAGACAGAAGAGAATAAAGATGGATGAGAAGGAAGGAAACGAAGAAAGATTGTGGGTGAAATTAAGAGCGACATCGGAATGTTACAGAAATTAATTTGACACTAATGGAAAAAGATGTGATGTTGATTAATGAACTCAAATGAAATCATTCGTAACGTGACCGAAAACAAGTGACAAATATAGGTGGAAAAGTCAAAGATCTTTTCTTCGTTTCACATTTTTGAAATATCAATATTAAAACCTCTTTTTTAATTATCTTAGAGAAATAATGATTCTTTTTTTCTATGAACTTCGTCGAAGAATTTGAATATACTGAACTGGATATATCGAAACACCTCAAGTATTTTTCTTTGGCAGAGAAGCATCCGGGGAGAATTCATTAAGCAAGAATATTTACGCATTTAAGAAAAAAAAGAAAGGAAGAGAAAAAATATAAAAAAAAAAAAAAGATCAGAAAACGACACCACAGGGTTTCACTTTCTTTTCTTGAGATGAAAAGGAAGAAGATGAAGAAGCTTAATGAGTTATCCGAGCTTTCCCGCGCAGGTGACGAGGGGGGGGGGGTACATGCTTCATTTTTTTCAGGTTTTTTTTTCTTTTTCTTTTCTTTCCTTTTCTTACATTGTGTATTGATTTTTTCGTTCCTTTTTTTAAAGCTATTTTAGCTGAGGATAAAAGTAAGACAGGAAGATGAGTTTCTTTCTTTGAGTTTCTTCGTCAGCTATTTTTTTTTTTTTTATTTTATTATCATTGACATTTTTATTCATCTACATATCTATTCGTGTATACGTTGTTGTTGTTTTTTTTACTTATCCATGTTACTTTCACTGACATCTATCTGTATATCTATTTCATTCATCTACCCATCTATCTATCTATCTACTAATCTGTCTATCTATTTATCTCTCGATCTGTATATTTATCTATTTATCTATCTATCTATCTATCTATCTATCTATCTATCTATCTATCTATCTATATATATATATATATATATATATATTATATATATATATATATATATATATATTATATATATATATATATATATATGTATTTCTCTATTCATCAACATCTATTTATCAGACTATCTACACGTCCATATATTTATTTATCTATCTATTTATTCACGTATCTATTTATCTATCAATCCATCTATCTATCTATCAATTCACTATTACTATCTATCTATCTATCTATTCTATCTACATATAAGAAAATTAGAACAACCTTCAGTTCCTTCTCTTTTTATTTTTTTTATTATATTTCTTTTTCGTTTTTCTTTTCTTCATCTTCTCGCGTCCGTAATTAAGTAAAAAGACCAAAGCTATCTGATATTTTAAAGATTTTCACAAAGTCATGTTGTGATATGATGAACAAGGTTGAAAATCCTTGTTGTGACTGCGTTTTATAAAGACCTTCAGAGCCGTTGACACGATAGCTTCTTCTTGCCCCGGGCGTGCTCAACCAGGGGCGGGGCGGCGTCAAGGTGTCAAAACATCTCGGAAATGGGTTATACATGTGGCCCCGTGGTATGTGGGGGGGGGGGGGGAGATGTAGGTGTGGGTTGTGTGTGTGGATGGTGGTGGTGTGTGTGGGCAGGTGGATGTAGGTGGGTGTGTGGGGGTTGTTGGTATGTGTGGTGTGTGTGTGTGTGTGTGCGTTGGTGTGTGTGTGTGTGGTGTGTGTGTGTGTGTGTGTGTGTGTGTGTGTGTGTGTGTGTGTGTGTGTGTGTGTGTGGATGTGTGGTGGTGTGGTGGGGTGGGTGTGGAAGTGGTTGTGTGTGTGTGGGTAGTGGGTATGTGGGTATTTGATAGAACACATAGGTGTATCAACTGATGTTAATATAGCAACATTACCGTAGAACAATGGTCCTTAATCTGATGGAAGCTACGGGCGCGCCTTTCCCAAGTGATATCCACATAAAGACAACTATGCATGCAAGCAATGTGTATAAATGCACTTTTATTCATTGAGATTTAATAGCTTTATCTATATACGAGATCCACAACATATTATCAAACTTTAAAAAAACAATCTAAAAAACTAATCTAATGGCCATTCATTATAATCATGAATGTAAATAAACTCTATCTGATCCTCACGGAACCCCCCTGAAACCCTACCACGGGCTAGGTTACGAACCCCTATGTAAGAGTATCATGATTGATGTTGCTAATATTATCAATATATCCATTTACAGAACGATTACGA